TGCATTCCATCTTAGTCCTCAGGGGTGACAACGCATCTGCGTTTTGATTCTTATCGTAGGATAAACGTAGATGTCCATGGGCCACGGCATCCACTTACCATCAGGTGGACTATGTGCTCGTGTGTCACCCTTATTCTATAAAAAGAATATCTTCGTCAATTGTTTTTATTTAATTTTGAGGTGGCGTAAGGGAATCCACTATAGATAGAGGGAAATTGAGACAGGAGATGGGCAGTAGCATCTTCCTGATGACAATTAAAAATAACAGAAACTGTTGCCAACCCGTCTAAGCGTGGCAACTGTTGCAAAAACTATGTATGGACTTTAACGGGCTGTACTGGATAAATGGGTGAATCTTTCTCATCAAGACTTACGAAAACCCTCGGCCAGCGAAACCAATCGATTTAAGGTTAGGCGGAATGGAAAGAAATCGACAGACGATTCGGGTGGTATCAAGGAACAACGCCTGATAATATGTGGCTAAGGGAATCAGCTGAGAAATTATTTAGATATTTTTTAATGTACGCTAGTTTGTGTGAATTAATAGATTATTATTTTTTTCTTTTTTTTTTAAATGGGGCAATTTACAAACATAAATTTCACAAGGACAAACATCCAGACCCGGAACAATTAATTGTAGGCCATACAAATATTTGTTCCGTGCGGGATTCGAACCCGCGGCTCTTAGCGCTGTAACTGTCTATGCTAAGCTACTGCGCCACGGAGCCGTCATCCTAATATTTATCGAATAATTTTATTTGTAGCTTCCGTAAAAGCCAACTGCAATTTCATATTAACCTCGGAAGTTAACAAATCTAAGATTTTCAAACTATCACACACCGGCACAGAAAAATTCTTATACCGTGAGTAATATACAGCACAGCGCTGCGGATCGGATCCCGAACATAACATGAAAGATGAATGTATGAATTAATGATTTGAATGATTTTTTATTATATATAGATTATTGCAAAATACTTATTGAAAGTAATAAAGTAATTTCTATTTACCACTGGTTCGGAATAAACCTCTGTCCTGGAAAAAACCAGCAAGAAAATTAGCGGGACTTTTTTTAAACATATTTCACCTTATTTTTAATTTTGTAATATTTCATAGAACCAGCATGGTGGCGATCACCTCATTTCTAGGGGTTATTTACGTCTACGTATTCTTTATATATATATATATATATATATATATATATATATATATATATATATATATAGATATTATAATAACCCTTTTTTGTGCAATTTTTCATTAAACATTTAAATTTGTTTAATGACAAACTTTATACATTATATATTTTATATATATTTATTTTTATATATATTTCGAAAAAACAAATTATTTTGGTCTGAATGTTTGTCCACGATTAATATACGAGTATGTATGTTAAAAAGAGAAAAATCAAGAGAAATATTTTGTGAGTGTGTCTGCCAAAATGGGTCATGTTTTCTTTAACTGTTATTTATAAGCTATATAAATTAAATTACCTTTTTCCTTATCAGCCTTTTAAATCGATTACTAGATAGATTGTGTAGTATAAGATACTATCTATACGATCTTAGCAGGTAGCCCATATTTACTACGCGTGGCAAAGTGCAGAATATTTCTACGTGGTAGAGCTATGCTTCAGTTATATTATGGTAGTAGCACGAATGTATCAGCTTAACAGGAGTCCTTCCACTTCGCTGTCACAAAATACCAGCATGAAATAGCAGCTTTTTGCAGCCGTCTTAGGTATGCTGAGGGTAGAGAATCGAACACCCTTTATACTGGAAACACACCTGCTTTTTATTTCTAAACAAAAAAATGTTTAGATATCTAGGGCCTACAGCATTCGCTTAACAACAGGTGGACTACGTGCTTGTCTGTCGCCCTTATTCTATAAATAAAAACACTTGCCCTGGTAAAGCTCCTGCTGAAAAGTCTGAAATATTCAGGGTCAGAGTTTTTAACGAATAACACCTGCTTAACGGATAAACACTCGAGAACTTTTATGCCCCATCGGTTATCGGTTCTTCGAGCTATACGAGCATAGCCGAGCTAATGCCGCTTCAGCTTACTGATCCGTATCGCTATGTCGGGTTAGTCTGATTCTATAGCAGATATCTTCATTTTGCAGTCTCGCAGTGAAGAACTACTTACCACTACTAACACTCATTAAACTATTGATTGCATTAATTTTCAGAGGTGTTTTACCGCGTGTTCGATGGTTAAAGAAATCATCGTAAGGTTCCTGCATGTCTATGGAATAAAATATTTCAAGAAGTTAAGTCTAAACTAACAGGCACTAAGGAGCGCGACGAATCCTTCTTTCACAACCTTCTCAAAAATGTCTTTGTAGTAATGTATAAAGACCAGCCTCCAGTTGAGGGTCGTAACCTTATTCATAATATTAATATAGTTTTTAGTTAGCTGAGATCTGCGATCAACAAACAAAATCAAATTATTCCAACATAGAACAAGGCACACCGCGACCAACTCAACTGTTTACTCATTGTGAACTTAAATCTAAAATTAAAACTTAAACTTTACTGAAACCAATGTTAGGAAAACGAATTTTCAACTCATATTAAATAGTTTCTTTATTTTTTGACGTGGCATTTTGACATTTTATTTGTGAAACATATTTTGAATAAATTCCTGAGAAAGCTTCCTTGAAAAAGCTTTGGTATCTGATATTTTATTTTCATAGAGGCCCAACCCTATTAAATTTCCTAACAAACGAATCATCAACATTCTCAGTGCAAACAGAAACCATTAAGTTTGTTCGTTGGTAATAGTTTACAATTCTGTGTTTGCACGCCTGGTTTTGAGTGAAAATATTAAGTGTATTTTCAGTTACGTCAAAATTCCGCTACTGAACATGGGACTCCCCATAGATTGACTCATGGAGGGCAAATTTGCCATAGTTGCCACGCTTGGCAGTCGGTTTAGCTACCGTAATTTTAGTTTTTAGTTTTTATTAGGAAGACACTGCTGCCGAAAGCCTGGTTTCCCTCTGTCGCCTCTTACGACACCCACGGGACGATATGGGGTAGTGGATATTCTCAACCGCCACTACACTTTTTTCTTTTTTTCCTACTGATTATATACCAGTGTCTGACCACAATCCCGCTTTTTAGCGTAACAAAAGCCTATTCATACGTGCAATTAAATGTACTTATTCTAATATAAAGTACGAATACCAGTGTAACATAAAATTAGATAGCAATATCTTCTAAGTACAAATAGAAGATAAAATATCGTAATAGAACGAAGAACGAAAAAATCCTCCACTTGAGTGGACGTCTGCAACCAACTTTCCTTTAATGAAGTCTGGAACAAAACCTAAGACAGTTCTTTAGGACCTGCTAAGGACTTTTGAACTGACTTCAAAAAGAAGGAAATACTCAATTCGACTGTATCTTTTGTTTTATGTGTGTTACTTCAGAACTTTTCAGGTGAACCGATTTTAATGATTCTTATTTTATTTGAAAGCTGGTGCTTCTCATGTGGTCTCAAATAAATATTGATCGAGATTTGTCAATCAATATTGATCGTATTTAATAGATTTCGAACACATTGATAATTTTCTCATTTTATTTATATTGAAGTGGATTGTACAATTTTTTTATACTACCACTTGTTACCTATAAAAATCTCGGCGACATAAAACTAAATATAAAAAATTCTATCTTTCTACTAATCTTATTCTGTTTTTTTCTCTCTACTATACCCGTTTATGTTCTATCGAAGACCCTTACGCAATGAATAGGTTAAATTCTGCATAATAGAAATCCAAATAAGATCCACGTTGGTTTGTAAATCTCAAGTCTCAAAATACATAATAATAATAATGTCCTCCAGACCGAATTTCGGCCACGGCGGCCTGCCTCAACGGAGGCTAGCCATCGGCGCAGGACAGGATTATAGTGCCTAATCGTATGCGCAAGCACAGGTGTACTCTCTATTCCCTCACTCTTATAATCCGATGGGACGGTAAACCGACAAGACCGGAGCGAAATTAGACACAGGACCAACGGCTTTACTAGTGAGACACCGACATCTTCCTGATTCCGGGCAGCTACTGAGAATTTCTTGATAGAAAAACTCAACAATTGATTGTTAGGCCCGGCCCGGGATTCAAACCCAGGACCTCATGATCAGCAGTCGCACTACTACAAGCACTAAACCTACGAGTCAGTCTACGATACATAATAACCTAAGACTTAAGATACATTTTAATAAGAGCCAATTACTTTTAATACCTTCAACAACGTGTGATTTAAAAATGCATCATCCTATAATGCGAAACTATTTGTTACTGTTTAACCCACAAGTACTTTACTTCTTCATTACATAACAAGGACACCTCATAAGAAGTAAACGAACCTCGTAAGCTATTAACATATTAACAAATACAACTGTGAAGGCAATTAGCGATGGCAGTGTTTCCAACTTATGTCTGTAGTGGCAACTTTCTGCGCTACGCCCACCTACAAAATTGTCTCTACCTGCTCTACAATGACAAACGTAACAAGTGCAAGGCGGACTTGGATAAATTGGAATATTTTACATAAGGATAACTTCTAGCGATTTTGAAAATATTAATATTATATAATAAGTAGTATTTTATAACATTTAAACACTTCTTATTATACGAGAAAATTGTGAGATTTTAGATTTAAGCTTTTGGTTTAGAACAAATCTGATTTACATGTAAAAATCCTTTGAAAAAATTTAAAATATACTCAGACATCAATTTTAAGCTCCGCTTAATGCATAACAGAATATTAGTAATATGTTATATTAATTATGATTGTTTTTGTACGAATTTTTGTTAAACTTAATTTGATTTGTGCAATAGAAGATATATAGTGTCAATTGAAAATAAGTTTTAATTATTTACGAAACTTTCGAAATTGATTAATACTAAATATATTTTCCCAAAAGAAATATCCTTAAAGTTTGCAAACGGATATACTGTTATTTCAAAAACATTTTTGACATACCTTATCAATTTCGGAGGCTCGTAGAATAATCTTAAGCCTGGGGTTGCTTTTCTTGTACTCTCTCAACAGATTGTCGAGTTTTTCTCCTCTCGCGTCGCCCGTGTAAACGAGGTGTGTGCACTCGGAAAAATCAGACGCGTGCGTACTCTCTACGTAGCAGAGAAGCCGTGCGGCGCCCGCGCCAGCACCTTCAGCGGTAAGTGCCGCGCCCGCGGCAAGACAAAACAAAAGTAACCACATTATCTATACTATTAAACAATCAGTATGTCATCTCCGATCGCGTTCGATTTTCGACTTCGTATTTTATGTTTGGAAGCGCGTTGGTCGGTTCGTCGGCGCAGTACAAGTGGCGTCACAGCCGCGGCCGGCCGCAGTCATAGGCGCCCCCGCCCTGCAACGGTGGTGGTCGACAAGGTCGCGCGCTCACCGACGAAAGAAACTGGAGCTTGCAGCGTCAAGAATGCTTTTACGTGTGACACGCTCTGTTACATATTTATCGATGTCGCAAGCCCATGGCATTTTTGTATAACTCGATTATGAGTAGTTTAATATGGATTAGCACAGTTTTTTTTATATTTCTCATTTCCTTTAGCCTTGAATAGGCACAGTAGGCGAAGCGATTTTATAGGACCAGTCTGTCAGTTAATTTAATGTAGAAATATACCTATCTAGTGTTGGTTGCAGTAGAACTGTTTCCATTTTCATAGATTCCATTAAATGATATCATATTGAGCTGACCATGGAAGGACCACGCTCTCACAAAATAACAGAGTAAAATGGCAGCTTAATGCTGCTGTGTTTCGTATGGTGAGTGTAGAGATCCAAACACACTTTTTACTGGAAACGAGGCATGGACAAAGACAAATGTAGATGTCTATGGGTCACAGCATCCACTTACCATCACGTGGACTGTGTGCTAGTTTGTCACCTTTATTCTATAAAAAGACGAACTTACAATACACCTGACGTTAATACTGCAGTCTATAAACACCTGCAGGCTTCTTAAAACAAGGAAGTATACAGTTGCGCTGTCACCTCTAAGTAACCAGATGAAAGTCCTCACAGGATGTTACCATTATATCTCTGTTTCCATCAGACCGGCACACCGCAATGCAGACACTACTATCTGGCGCCAAAAAATGGGTAAGAGTAAAAGTACGTACCCAAGCAACAGAATGGGAGTCCTAGCACAGAAAATAAAGACATGTATATATATATATATATATATATATATATATATATATATATATATATATATATATATATATATATATATATATATATATATAGTCTGTATAGTGCAAATAGAGTAAACGTACTAGTATGACTCTAGCGGCTGTAAACGCGACTGCTAATGAGGTCCCCGGTTGGAATCCAGGGTCGGGCCAACAAAAATCAGTTATTTAGTTTTTCCGTCAAGAAATTCGCAGCAGCAGTCCGAAGTGAGAAACTTCACACTCGTGCCCGCGCCTGTCGTTTCTCCGGTCGTATCAGCTTGCTTCCATCGGACTATGAGAGTGAGGGAATAGAGAGTGCCTGCACTTGCGCATACACTCGGGCACTATAATCGCGTTATATGCAGATGCCTGGTCTACGATGAGACTGTCCTCCGTGACCAAAATTACTATTATTATGATTTTATCAGCTGTGCACTCAACAACCCCTATACTCAGCTTGGCGGGAAGGAACACCTCTTTCAAAATAAGTTTAAAGTTAAAATGTAGACACATTTTAACTTTAAACTAATTATATGTGTGGCGGCGCTGTCGTCGCGCCACAAGCGAAACACACCGAAGCCTAAATCGCGCTATCAAAGTTCCAAATCATAAACAGTATATATAGAACAGCTCCGAACTATCACACGGAGCGTTGGCCGCTCCCCGGGCAAAACACCTTGCCCGGCGGGAGATCTCCCCTTTTACTTCTACGGCCACAGATCTGAACACGCAACTCAACAACCTTCGGAAACTACAACTTCAAGCCTTCGTCATTATCCTCAAGAACCCCTACTATTCACTACTGAGAATCGTCTTCTGCAGTCTTCGGTTCCTGCAAACTAGTCCAACTTGTCTTCATCTCGACTCACCGCAGATTTATAAGGCAAACTTCTGGCACTTGCTCCGGTACATCGTTCTCACCAACATCACTTGCCAGTGCGTAGTACGGCATGCATTACACATCGGCATATCATTCGCACCGGTGTCACTTACCCTTACGCACACAGCATGCATTCCTCACCGGCACATATGTATATATTATATATTAACACCGACTTCAAAAGCTGTTATATGGAAATTATTTTGTCTTATTAAAGGTTAAATTTATTTAATTTTAAACCATTGTATAAAACAAATTTTATTTCGGACATCACAAGAACAATACTAAAGAGTTTTTGATATTCAACAATCTGATTTTTTTTATGGAATACTAACAATTCTATTGACTAGAAATTCTATTAACAAAGAAAATTTATGTTGCAGCAGTGAATGGCAGAGTCGGAAAGGGACGTCCTAGGCGAAAATTTATCGACCAAATTGTAGATTTATTGAAAACGGGCCAAATTAGGAGTACCCTTAACCGACGAGCATGTATGCGTAGGTGTATGGATGTGAAGGAGGCGAGAGAGGTGTGTCAGGATCGTGCCAAATGGAAGTCTGTAGTCTCTGCCTACCCCTCTGGGTGACAGGCGTGAGTGTTTATGTTTATGTATGTTGATCTATTAACTATACTTATACTTTTTTATAGATGTAATAGTAGCAATTGTGCACACAGTTCATCTAATGGTGTTGCCACAGTCTAACTCATAGATAAGCTAACTTACTACTACTTAGACTTGTGTAAATAATAATGTACGCCTATTAGTCACCATCCGTTTTATATCAATCATGATTGATGGAATTGATTGACGCCTGCATGAGCGTGTAATGTACGCCTTACTGATCATAGAGTACCGAAACGCGTAGTGATCAAATTGAATGATCAACGCGAATGACTCGGTTCGTATGACGAATCAATACTTGAATAATCGGGTCACTAGAAATGAATGAACGACACAATTTACTATTCGGTCATCGAAGGCGTCTAGACTGGTTAATCGGGGCGAGACGCTGGCGGAGCGTTCCCGAATGGCCTTTAGTCATTCGGGAACTGTCCGCTAAGGTTGCCCTGTCACGCAAATAAATTAAAATGGTTCCCACTACATGTACGGTGAAAACTGTAGATCGTTTCCATTTAGTAATTTTCATTTATTATTCATTTCATTATGTTATATTATTTAATTTGTTTAAACGTGAAATAAAATATAATTAGCTCTTAATTTTTTCATTATTTCCCGTTCAACAACAACAACACAACAAGGGTTGTCAATTTATTGTTTATGTCGGTTTTTCCGACAACATCAAATGCGTGGCTGAATATCTTCTTCTTAGGCTGTGGTGTTGCCGTTGCCTTTAGTCATCTGCTTCCATGAGAAATGCTAGAGAAAATCTTATGTCTCCCGAAAGATGGCAATATATATATATATATATATATATATATATATATATATATGTATACAAATATGCGTGTTCAAATACATATACATATGATTACTATATACAGATGAATATGAATATATTTAATTTTGTTAAGCAATACGTATTAAATTAATGAGTCATGTAAAATGCATTGTCTTTAATAGATGATTATGGAACAACATTTTAAAGGCGTGATTATTGGGTCCTTTTCTGATGTCAACGAGCAAGAAGTTGCAAAGGCGTATAGCCTGAACTGTGAAGGAGTTACCATAGAACTTGGTGAAGTGCAAGGAATACAGATTTTGATAATATTGAAGAATCTAGGACCCTATCATGAGATGAGGAGAGATTTACTTTTAAGAAGAAGGAGAAGGCGGGTCATAAACATGGAAAAAAGTACATGCAATATTCTGGAATTGCGCCTCTGCCGGATTGTAAGCCAATTTAGCTTAAGTAATATTGCGAAATATAGTCATACTTACGAAACCCGAAAATAAATCTTATTCAGTTATTGAGGAGGCGTTCCAGGTTATTCAGAAGATCCTGGGACAAATCTAGGTAACAAACATCTGTATAATCAATTATGGGTAATATGAAGGAATGCACAAACATGATCTTAGATTTTGTGGGTAGTAAATGTTTTAAACAATACAGAGAGCATAACGTGGCAATGTGTGAATTTACGACTCACTTCTGAAACCCCTATTAAGCGTGCTGTCGATGTGAAGGCCAAGATTTTAAGCAGAATTACTGAACGGAATTATAATACTATCATAATAAATATGAGGTAAGTCTGCCATCTCAATTACACCTAACGTAAGAAACAATTGCGACATTTATTATATTCTAAATGCAAACGGTAACTGTCAACTACAGAACATATTTAATAGTGCTCACACGTGCTATTTTGTCCATTTTCGATGTGTCCTTTACTGGATAAGATAACACATAGACTATGGCATGGCAGTGTTCGAAACCGGAACCAATTACTACACATACTGAAGACTAAATACAACCAGCTACAGACAGGATTAAATCTATAAGCTCAGCAGGTAGGTGCACCAATTACTATTTAGTTCTTCATAGAATTTAAATATTATAATTTTTATTAAAAAAATTTTTTTATAGAACAACGATGACAAACGAGCACATATTCTACCTGATGGTAAGTGGATGCTGTGGCCTATAGAAATCTACATTTATTTTCGACTAGCTGTTCCCAGCAACTTCGTCCGCGTGGAATTTATTACCCAAATTATTTTTCTAAAATAAAAGTACCCTAGTAGCTTAAGTTATTCTTTATAATATCAGCTATCTGCCAGTGAAAATCCCGTCGAAACCAGTTAAGCTATTTCGGAGATTAGCCAGAACAAACAGACAGGCAGACAAAAATTTTAATAATTATTTTTTTGTTTTAAGTACATTTTTAAGACATTGCAAACAGACCCTTCAATTTTATTTATTTGTATAGATTAAGAATTAATAAAATTAAGAAAAAAAAATACAGATGCGTTGTCACCCGTGAGGACTAAGATGGAATGCCTCGTTTCCAGTAAAAAGGGTCTCCGGCTCTCTACACTCACCATACGAAACACAGCCGCTTGAAGCTGCTTTTTTACTCTGGTATTGAGTAAAAAAGCAGCTGTGAGAGCGTGGTCCTTCCACGGTCGAACCGGCTACATTCGTGCTACAACTACACTACTAATATAGCTGCAATATGGTTCT